GCAAGTGAGCGGTGTGCAAGTGAGCGGTGTGCAAGTGAGCGGTGTGCAAGTGAGCGGTGTGCAAGTGAGCGGTGTGCAAATGAGCGGTGTTCACTTGTGCCGTGTCCAACTTTTCGGTGTGCAACTTTCACCGTGTGCAAGTGAGCGGTGTCCACTTGCGCCGTGTCCACTTTTCGGTGTGCAACTTTCACCGTGTGCAAGTGAGCGGTGTCCACTTGCGCCGTGTCCACTTTTCGATGTGCAACTTTTACCGTGTGCATATGAGCGGTGTCCACTTGCGCCATGTCCAACTTTTCGGTGTGCAACTTTTACCGTGTGCAAATGAGCGGTGTCCATTTGCGCCGTGTTCAACATTATGGTGTGAAACTTTTCTGTGTCCAAAATTTCTGTGTCCAAATGAATCGTGTGCAATATTCCGTGTCTATTTGCACCGTGTCCATTTGCACAGTGTCCACTTGTACTGTGTCCAAGTAACGGCCACTCACGATGACATACTATCACAGAACCAATTGACACCGCCTGCACAATATTCCGGTCAGCCGGGAGAGCGAAACACGAACGGAAGATACATGTCCTTAAAGGAAGCACGAAACTCGATTCCCCCGTTCGATGGAACCTCAAGCAAACTACTGGAATTTTTACGTGTCATAACTTACGCAGTGAAAAGTATCGATCCACTCGACGAAGGAGCACTATTAGAAGGCGTATTATACACTAAATTGAAAGGCAGAGCCTTGACAGATTTTCGCACTAGAGATATTAGAGACTTTGACCAATTAAAAGAAGAATTAGTCGTGTGCTATCAGAGTAAGAAGAGCACTACGCACTTGCAACTTGACTTCAATACGCTAAAGCAAAGGAGCGGAGAAAGCGCTCAAGAATTCGGCCTGAGAACCGAAAAACTAGCCAACGAGCTATTCGAATCCATGGTAGAGGAAAGCAATCACCCGCCAGGAGTTAAGCAAGGCATTCTAGAATCGATAAAGCAACAAGCTTTACAAAATTTTCAGCTAGGACTGAAAGACGAGATCAAACTACTCGTCAGATCCCGAAATTACAAAACTATGCAAGACGCCATAGCTGGCGCAAGTGCCGAGGAAAAATTTAATAGTCCGAAGGAAACGGCACGGTATAGAAACGGCTATGCAAACTCGCAGCCGAAAGACAATAAAGTGAAAGTAACGTGTCACAAATGCGGAAAACCCGGACACTATAGCAGAGATTGCCGAAGCAGTCGATATACAAATCGTTTTCAGCTGCCGAAACCCGAGACGACACCCAGAGTAAATGCGGTGGAGAAGCACTGCAAACATTGCAAAAGATCGGGACACGTCCAAGAGGAATGCTGGCAATTGCACGGGAAACCAAGAAATAATAGCGCGAGATACGCTAAACCCAATTACTCGCAAGGAAAAGCGAAAAGGAACGGCAATGAGCATAATAAATACAAAGAAAAGAGCGCCAACTCAGCAGCAAGCAGTGACGAAGATGACAACAATAAGAAAAAGACGAGACGAGCGCTCGAGTATCAGGTTGCGCACATGAACGATGTGACACAGCGGAACACAGGATTAGATTTAATCAACCTGCCCAT